ACAGGGGTTGGCCTCTCCCACTGCCCGTTCCTGCAGGGCTCAGTCTTGACCACCTTCCCGAGAAGCTGTCAGAACTTTGGTTCTGACACGTGTTCCACTAAAATCTCCATTCTATAGCTCTCACTGGAGGGGGTCAGCAGCTTCCCCACCATTCCACTTCAAAAGTTACATGTGTGTATCCAAGATTCACTTACTGTCAAATAACTAAAGCTTCAGTCATCAATTCACAAGTGCCCTCATATGCTTACTCACATTTGACCCCCACTTCCCTGTCAAGTTACTTTTAGGATTTTATTCTACAGCCATCCTTCTCTATCCAGTCTCCTTATAACAACCAACAAACCCTGAATACCCACTACACTGCAGGTCAGCCTGTATTTCTGGGGTTAAGTTCTGAATTCTGCGTTTAAGGTAAAAGTCAACTGTAATTAAAAATCACTCATGAAAATTCCTTAACTGGGACTTGGGCCCTTGAAAACTCAAAAACCAAGAATTAATGTCCTAGGTCTCTTTGTATTATGGCTATAGCTTCCCTTTCCCTGAGGACAGCAGAGACCAGAGGCTACTTTGAGCAAGGAGGACAAAGGGTTGAATAAAGGATTTTTTTTTCCCTCTACCCTGAGCTGGAAGAGTTGATTTCACAAGTTAAATTGAGTGTATGATATGACTCCACTGTATCTGCAAGGCATATGCTAGGTGCTATCAGGCAAAGAAATGAACATAAGACCCCTGCCCTCACATTACATATAATCCAGTTGGGAAAGATTGGATCACCCTCTGAAAATGGTAGTTAACAGTTAAACACAAAACCATCAGAACTGTCAGACACATGATACTAAGTACTGCAGATATTCAAAGGAAGAAGAAATTGCTGGAGTGTAGATTGGGCTAAAAAGGCTTTCAAGGAGAAATTTAAACTGGTTTCTGAGATGATTACATTCTTCCTTAAGATGGGCTGACTCGAACCAGTGTCCCAGGTAAAACTGATCCCTTCATCTAAGCATATGATAGTATTTTCTATTATGTCTCCACTGTCCTTCTTGAAAGTGTCAAATAATTCACTGGCCAACTCTGTCCATAGTAGTATGTTGAACCATATACCATAGTTCTAGTACTATTTGGTTATTAAAGCTTAAATTAAATCTTACTATTGTTATGCTGAAACAAGATCTTATTATGCAGCTAAGAACAGAGTAATCACTTCTTTACAATAGTGGAGAATACCACATGAGCATGGAACCTGACTTTCTCAATAAATTATTCATACTTATGAATATGCTGACCTTTTTCTCAACCCTAAGTCATTACTTGGATGGTCTCACACCAGCCTGTGTTAAAATTAAACTTGTTTATTTCTGCTTTCTTATAGAGTCCTAAGATCTCCTCTAAGTGTCCCTGTCCACTTTGGCTCTTTCTCCAGTCTCAGGACTCAGTGTGACTGAGCACCATCCCTAAATGATGGCCCTGGGCCACATGGCACTCTGAATTCAAGGAAACAAGTGCTTAGGTATACATCCTGAAGACAGCTCTGATCCCTGACTAGATGCAGTCACCACTCACTGGCTTTTTTCAGAAGAGGGGTGGCAGGCAAAGAAGGGACCCAAAAGCCGATCCAAAGCCAGTTGGAATAAAGGCCAAGAGGAAGAAAGTCCAAGCACAGATATTTAAATAGATGGCCCTGACCCATATGGGAAGCAGTTTAATAAATCCACACAACGTAGTGCATTTCCAAAATTCAAATGCTGGCCAATTTCTCTACGTCTGAAGGACATTTCTGAATTTGCCTTTTAGAAATGGTGTGAGCACAAGCCAGAAATGTCAAGTTCAAATCCAGATTCTGTTAAGATTCTACTTAAGCAATTGTGAGACTTTAGATATTTCTTAACTTTCAGCTTCAGCTTCTTCATCTATAAAGGGAGCCAATCGGACAAGATGATCCCTAGTTCATTCAGTAAACATAATTTTAAAAGTGAGAGCATCAGAGGTATGAGCAAAATCAAGAACATTACAGTCAGAACAGAAGTGACAGTGGACCTGGAGAGCCTCCAAAAAATAATGGTGATCAGAAAGGCCCCCTCCCCACCAAAATGGGGGTTGGGATAAATTCAGAATTGTTCCATAAGAATATATATAGATCTCCTCCTCTAGGTTCTGCCCTACAGTCAAACATATATCTATCTCTTCCGAGAAGAGCTAAGAATGATGATTCACAGGATGGACATACAATGTATGTCATCTCATACTTTCTAACTGGGAGTTGAGGAGTGGCGTATGACTCAACTTTAACTACCTAAGAGAAATTAAAGATTCCAAGGAGTTCAGACCCTGACCTCAATAACTCAGTCAACCATCTAATAAGCTTCTAGAGTCTAAAACGTCTTTAATACACAGCCTAAAAACCTTGAGTGAAGTTTTACAGTCTCTAGTTCACTTTTATAGTCTCAAGAGTTTTAGAAACACAATATGTTTAGGCTCTCAGGTACAATATTATTGTAATAAAATCCTAACTAGAGTTTAAGATGTTGTTAAGTATTTAAATAGCACTGAAGAAAAATTTAACCCACAAAAATCTATGATGGTTTCTAAAATAGCATGTTCATCTAATATTCCCATAACTGCAATAACCTTTAGCTTTACTCTCTGGCAGTCTTAGAATCACAATGTTTAACACCTACACAGTAGCTGGCACACAGTAGGAATTCAATTACTGCTTCTAAGTTTATCACCATTAACAGCTACCATTTAGTCAGCAAGTACTCATGCCAATCAGGAATTAAGTATTTTACATGTTATCTCTTAATCTTCACAACAACCCTATTAAGCAGTAATAGCTCCATTTTACAGATAAAGAAACTATAGCTCAAAGTAAAACAGCTGCTAAATGGCCCAGAACAAATCTGAGCTCTCTTCTTCCTCACCAGTTCCCTGAAATAGTTCCACTAAGCTTGTGCAGAGTGCAGGGGTTGGGAAACTGGCCCAGAAGTAGTGAGTGGGGTCTAGATCTCACTGACTGTTACTTACATCCACATCTTCACTGACAAAGGTGATAACGGATGTGGGTATGGCCTGTGTGTGCTGGTTCTCCTGGGAGGACATTACTCCAGTAGCTAGACTACTTTACCAAAAGGAGGGGAGTAGAGAGAGGCATCTGACATAAACCATAGCCCCCTAGAATGTAG